CCCCGCCCCCCTCCCAAACCCACCCTCTTTTTGCTAAACCGTGCATCAGCAGCATGAATTCCAAGAAACAGTAGGTGTTTCTTGGCATTCCAACTGGGATTTTGGAAAGGGAAGCCGGGTATTTAATGGGAAAAAAAATTGCGATGGAAGGAAGGGATGCGGAGGCTGCACACAGCCCTGGGTTTGCAGGCATGTGGAAGTTGTTGAAATAGGTAAAAGGGTCGAAACTGGCATTTGGAATACGGTGACTATTTCTTTAGTTACTTATACGATGGACGAATATAGGGGAAAACTGGGCCACTAAGAATTTTTCCTGTGTTGTAGTTTGCTGTCAGCAGAAGGTAAAACCCGTCCTTGAAGATATACAATTTTACATAAACAGCTGATGTTTACATAAGCCTAGATAAGTTTGTGAAAAACACAGATAGCAGAAGATGCGGTGCTAGCTGAGCTCGGCTATCCTGCTGTTTGTCCATGTAATAATTTCTCTTTTTTTTTTGTATTGTTGCAGCGTAAGAACAAAGTGAGCAGCTGCACCTTTACCAAAGCAACCACCTGCGTTCCTCCTCTGCTCTGGAATGGACAATGGGATGGCCTCTGGCTTTATCATGATCAAAAACTTCTTCCTCTTCTGCGTTTCCATGAGTTTAGCCAGCCACTTCGGGTGAGTTGCCAGTTGCGTTTGAATTTTTGCTGTGGGGTTTTTAAGGAAATGAAAAACCTTGGCTCCGTGTGGTACGGAGCAGCCGAACAAAACAAGTGGGCTTTGCATTTCATCTTAACGTGCTAGTGTCAGGGGGAAGGGAGCGATTTGCTTTCCTGCTCAAATTTACTGTCTCGTATCGGTTCTTTACGCCCATAACGCTCTTGCGGGAAGGTTTGGGGGGGCACGGGGAGCTCAGACGAGGCCTGCGGCTGCTGAGTGCTCTGACCTGGGCGTAGCACAGCCGGGGGCTGCAGTGCTCCCGGCCCCCGTGGCTGCGACTGAGGGGGGCTTGCACCTTCCCTCTCACCTGGCGGGTGCAGGCTATAGGCAGTAGTGCAAGACTGCAACAGCAGGACTCAGTGCATGCTGCTAGCTGGTACAGGCTTTCCTAGTGAGTAAGCTAAGATCGTGACTGCTCAGAAGGATGGCTGAGTTTGAAACTTGCTGGAATATTTAGAAATTGTGTTTCCCTGAAGCGTATAGCCAGGAATCCTTATTTTTGTTTTGGGTGCTTTCCTGACGGTGGTATTCTGAAAACCGTATTGAAGAAATACTCCTACTATAGCTCTTAGGGGAAAAAAAAAAAAACCAAACCCAAACATAAACCCTGTATTTATATGTTGTTTGCCTAAACCCAGAGATCTTAAGAACTTTCCAAAATCGGGCTATGCAATGGAGTCTAGAAAAAGCGTTTCACAAGTCCTCTGGAAACGTAGGTTGATTCTTCTTTGTGGAGGAGAACAATTATTTATGATTTCACCAGAAAAAAATGAATCCTCCCAACGTGCTGATTCACAAGCACACCCATCAGTTCCTTGCTGTAAGAAGATACAAAATGGAGATGCAAATCAGTTTTTGATTTCAAGCAAAGTGATTTTTTTCCAGATTGGAACTAGGAGAAGGACCAAACTTTGAGCGATGACTGTCTATGCTGTAAGCAAAACTTAGCCCTGTCTCCAGCATGTGTCCTGTGTGGGCAGGTGGAAGGCTGTGACCGCAGTGGCATATATGAATGGTTGTAGGGCTGCACACTACAAAGCATGCCAAGAGCTGCGCACCGATTTATTCACCTTGGAAAAGCTTGGTCCTGCTTTCACTGTGGTCTAAGGCAAAACTCTCCCTGGACTTTGTGACAGAAATGAAGAGGGCATAGATAGAGTGGGACTGGTTTTAAATTTGTCTTGACGTGGTTGTAATTTGACAAAGTGTTGCCACACTGTGAAAATCTTGAGGACTATAACCTTAAGTCCTTCCTGATTGTTCATCATCCCTGCAGAAGGCAGCACACTGCAATAGTTGAGCATGACCTGTTTGGTGTGGGGTGTTCTAACTGTGTTACTCCTCTAACAGAAGAGTAGATAGGTGAGGCTGCAAAAAAAGAGAGTTTAACCCTCCCTTTTGACTCCAAAGCAAATAGTGAATCAAAGTCCCAGGTAGGAATTGGTGTGACCTGTAACCTGGCAGATAATCAGAACAGGACAGTTAGGGGAAACTAGGGCACTTGTTTTCTGCGAGTTCTCAAAAAGCTTCTGTGCACTAAAATGAGATCATCACGTAACCTCTCCCCCCCCGCCCCCCATTTCTGATCTAGTAATTTTAGTCTGGGCCTGCAGAGATAAGCAGCTCCAATTCGCTGCACCATTCACACGCTGCCTTAGGGCAGAATTTTGACCCTGCTCAGAAGACACAGGATGCTCCAGCGCTTCTGTTTCAGAGGCAGAAGCGGTTTCAGAGTGTAATTTGCTAAGTGCTTTGGGACTGAATCTTCAGGACAGAATGGTACAATTTACATGTAGGCTGGTATATTAACTGCAAGAATCTGATACTGATAATACTTGCTGTTGCTACCAGGTCCTTCTTTATTAGCTTCATCCATGTTTGGACTGCACTGTTACACTGCAGTGCATTTGGCAGTGTGATAGATAAAGGTGATTGGTCAAATGAACACAAATTAAAAAGCAAAATACAGTAGGACATTACAGATGAAGGCAGAGATTTGTCTACGATTCTCCACAGTTGTTCCATATTTATATTAAATTGTAAATACAGTTTTTGCTGATATAGCCAAAGCCACCTTGGGGGATTTTGATGCCCAATGCCTGGTAAAATGAACAGGAATTATGTACCTCAGTCTCCTAGGCTGCTTCAGAAATCTCAGCAAAAGTCTGTGATTAATGTTTAACATAAATGTGGAATGGCTATCGAGAGTTATCCACATCAATAGGCGGTAGAGGAGGACTGTAGGCATAGTTGGTAGAAGTTATTTAAAGAAAAATGACTGAATTAAAATTCAAAGATATAGATGAAATGAGAAGAGGATGCGAAGCCCCCCCCGTTCTTGGTGTAACAGTTTTATGAGTCTACTTCTGGAGAACAGTCCAGCACAAGTCAAGGCTTTTTCAAGCTTGCTTGAATTCAGCCTTGAGTTGTATAATGCTTTAATGAGTTAAGGTATTTTACTGAAGCATTTCAAGATAGTTCATGATTGTCTTGAAAGTAAACATTAATAATAGAGCTAGAGAATAATTAAAAGTCAAATATAACTGCGAAGAGTATTTTCAGGTGAGACAAGAGGCTGATTCCTCCCATTTGTTTTATGTGAAGGATTTGCGCTGAATTCAGTCACGGTTTCATGAGTGCGAGGCCCATGGGGTCAGGCTGACAAAACCAAGCAGAAGGCGGGTGCTCTCCTGGCAGGGGGTCAGTGGAAACGCTAAGTAATTCAGACTCTGCTCCCTTCAGACCGATGCCGGCAAGAGCGACGCTGTGAGGCTGAGCATGGCAGTCAGGGAAGGAAATCAGTGTACGCGGGGTCCCGTCCTGCCAGACTCCGTGGGTGCCATGGCACTGCCCAGCCGCTGGCAATTCCTGGCCCTCGGGGAGCCCATGCAGTTGCAGCCCTGCGAGGGTTGGCACGATGGGTGACTGCCTGCACCGAAACCTCCCTGACATGAGGTAGCACATGGTGGGCCCCATGCCGGCCATCCTTACTGCATCCTGACTCTTTTTTTGCAAGCCCCAGACTGTCCATGGGGACATCTCTGGGGACATGCTGGTGACGCGCAGTCCCTGTGTGTTTGCATTTTAGACGTGCAATTTCAGAAATCCGTCCGAGAGCTGAAACCAATGGGGACGGATGTTGTTGGTATAACCACAGTTTATTTGCCATCTGCTAATAATATTTATAATAGTAGAAACACGGAAAACAGAAGATCCCAATTAAATGTAGCCAACGCAAGACTTGTCTGTGCACTGTAAGAATTCAGTCTGTGGCGTGTCTGCAGTTTTACATACTTTTCCACTAGCTCACAGTCCTTATCACTAAGACCATAATCCTGCTATTTAGGCTAAACATACCTCTCCTTCAGGCTGTTATTTCAAGTTAGTCTCTGCAACCTTAAGCAGTTAGTTCTGCTGGGTTATCCCTTTCCAAGCACTTGCAGATGTTAGTGAGTTCTTCCTCATATTTTTAAGACTAATGTAAGAATTATCATATGCTTATGCAGTCATGCTTATCCATTTTTTTTAATTCTGTTTGCCTTTCCTTCTCCATGTCTCCAGATAGCTTTTTGAACCCATTAGACAATTTTAATAATTTGAAAACTAAGTGGGTACCTAGAACTTCTTGGAGGAGGCAGACAGATGTCAGTCAATCCCCCTGCCGAACAGAAAGCTACGGCTTCAGCATCTCTGTTTTGCTTGGCCTGCCGGCCGGCCCAAGAGCAGACACGTGCTGGCAGGCCATCCAGCGCGTGCTTGGTGCAGGATCAGCCCTGGCACGAGTTGCCTCCTAGTGAAGCTGCAGGTTGGTGACTTGGGGAGGTGAGAGTACTGGGAGCTGTTTAATTACTGGGAGAAATTCAGGATATTGAAAGGGGCGTTAAGGTGCAAGGGGGTGAGGACGGTAAGATGTCACCCTATGAAAAACAAGCTTTTATTGCACTACTCACAAATTGCTCGTTCCCAGAAGGTAGTAAAATACTGCTCTTGCTAAATAAAAGAATTAAATTATTCTTTAAGGATCTGCCAAGACCATTAAAGTTTCATTATTTTCAGTCAGTCCTCTCCCCTATCCTCATGATGTGGAAGAATTGCATCTTCATTGCACAAATTCACAAAATATCAGCATTTTCGTATCTCAGGAATCTGTAAGAAAGGGGTAGTAAGAAGCTAACTTAGAAAAGTACATCCTTTGACATTTGGCCAGCTGATGGTATCCAAAAGTGTACAAGCGTGTTCTCCACTGTCTTTTCCACAAATTGTTAATTTGTCTGAAGTTCTCGTATAATTCCAATCTTACTAAAGCAAGCTATTGGAAACTCCACTCTTAAGAGACAGAGGAAAAAAATACACCCTTCAGTTGCAAAATACTCCTCAGTTATTTTTCCAGTGTCTCTTACTTTTTTTTTTTTAAAGTTTGGGGAAAATCATGAAATATCTACCATACATTTTCCTCTTATTACAACTGAGCTATAAATAGTACCTGTCATGATTTTGACTAGATAGCAAAAAAGACAGTGATGTTTAAAATGGTGAACGATGAATTCCTTGGAAGAGGTAGCGGAGAATCTAAATTTAGAGAGTTATTACATTTTACACTGATGGGCCCCTTCTGTGGCTTCTGATTTTTTCAGTCACCCTGAAATTGCAATATTAAATAAATGGGATGAGAAGTATTCCTGGTTGGTTTAGTTTATGTTCAGTAATGAGCTTTAAATGTAATTATCTTTGAATTTTCTTAGCATTTTCCTAAGGTTCTTTTCTAGGTTTATTTTTATCCGTAACTGAAAATGTCTGCTATAAAAACATTGTGGTTGCAGAGAGGCAATAATGTGCTTACCTCCTAATATATTGATAAAAAACTAATCTTTAGCTGTGTGGCAATAATTTGGATTATCACCTGTTTTCTCACTATTCATAGAGCTATAGCATCTAATGTATGCATGTAACTTAGCAAGTACTGTTTAAAGGTCTCATGTCATAAAAGACAACCTCGGCACTTCAAAACGTGAGTTGCTATTTCACCAGCAATCTCAAAAATATAAATTAAATGCTAACTTTTCTGTGAAAGAAAAAGCATCCTTTGCATTAATGGCAAACAGTAATCCGTCTACAAATGCAACTTCACACGGTACTGACATTTCTCTGAAATTCAGCATCAGATGCCTTCTTTTTCGGGTGACACGATCTGCCAAATCTAAACTGGATTGCAGTTTTGCAGATGAAGTGCAGACTTTTTATGAGTCTTCACCCTAGTTGTTTCCATCTTTTTCATCTATTAATTAGCTTTTCTTGTGGAGATATACAAGTATTTCAGCCTTTGCGGTGTGTGTACTATTCTTGTGAATGATCTGTATAGCTGGGATAGAAGGAAGCAGCATCAATTACTCTTGTGAGATTCGGAGGAGCAGTTATGAGAACTAAGTATATTTTATCCCATCCCCACAAAAATAGTTCAATGGAAGTCTTCCCTCTGAGTTCAATTGGCTTTGAATTCAGCCATAAGCACTAAAAATAACAAGCCTTTTCAAGAGCAGAGAAACTTGTGAAGCTTTGTATCCTGTGCCCCCAGCACCGTACCTTTGCAATAATCCTGGCTCTGCATTTAGCATCCCTTGTTCCCATCTCCCATTGCAACAGCTACATTTTACCTCTGCGGTCCTTTTCTCCCAGGATCTTTCCTAATCACCCTGCAAGTCTCCTCTATATCTCTTAATTAGCAGAGAGGAGGTGGGCTGGTTTTGCTGAGGCTGTTTCTGAGCAACATGCGTGCTGACTGGCCCAGTCAGTGAGCCAGTGGGAATAGATGACTGCTGACCTCACATTTTTACTTAATGAGGCACTAATTTAGATCGCTCTCCCCTTGTCTAGTCACTGCTTCTCATGAAACTTGTAGGAATGAAATGAAGTTTGATCTCTCTGCTTCTTTGTCAGATGCACTGGAAAGTGAAAACGGGTTCCTGCATTGATACGGTGAAGCAGGGAGACAGCATGATGCATGTCTCTTTCTTATCAAAAAAAGAGGCTAAAATAAATTAGAAAAGTTTAAAATAGTATTCTAGGATTTTACAAAAGTGTTAGTTATGGTCACTGCATATGAAGAACCTCTGTAACTTCTGTCTCCTGTTTGTATTCGTTAGGCTGCTGCTTGTAAATATTCACCTTTACGTGGTGAATCCCTTTGATTACGATTGACAAAAAAGTATACAGTCTTTTGTCTTGAATGGTCTGGCCTGCAAGGATGTCTAATGTTTCTGTAATCAGTTTGCATCTGCTGGATTAACTGTCCTTCATTATAGTCAAACATGTCTGCGATGTTCTCTGCCTCAGTTACTCACTGGATGTTGTGGTCACAGCATAGAAAACAGAATTAATTTGGCCTTTTGACCAAAGAGAGATGGGATGGCCTGAAAAATGGGTGAGATTTGTGGCTACGCCTCTGCCTGCGGTGGAGGGGATCTCCTTGGTGGCCTTGGGCTCTCCAGTGTTGAGCTTGTTGAGGGTTGCAGCACTGCCGATGGCATTCGGGCAGCGAGGAGCCTCCTCGGCCAGGCGTTTGCATGTGCTTCAGCATTCCTGGGAATAGGACCCGTGCCCCCACCGCCCAGCCTTGCCCCCCTTTCCTGAGAGCCTTTGCATTCCTTCCCTTTTCCAACAGAAGCACACAAGCTGTAAAGGGAACAGTTGCAGGACTAGGGGTCCCCATGTCTGTGAGGGGCTACGTGGCCACCAGCAGCTCGTCCTGAGCCAGGTCTCGTGTCACTAAAACTTCCAGACTTATTACAGGGTGTCAGTGAGATCCCATTAGTGTAAACCTTGCGCAGGTCAAACCAGGTTGAGGTCCCATGTCTTTCTTTGTATAAAACCTGTTCTGTTGGGTAAGCCCAACATACACGTTACACGCATTCTGCAAGGCAAGCTGTTCAGAGGGATGATTTGAGGTTCTCTGTTTATTTACTGATTTATTTCCCTGGGGACTTGTAGTAAATAAACATGGATTTTTAAATTTTTTTTTATCTCTGGCTCTCTCGACTGGCTCACACTGAGTTCAGGTTCTTAGAGTGTAAGTGATTCCTGCGTGCTGGCAGGGTGCATGAGGCAGGGTATGGTTCCTAGTGGGGCAATGTGCCCTGTCGCAGCTGGGGCATTCGTTGGCCATTTCAGCAGAGACTGAAACTTGAATAAGCACTGAGTGTGAGCAAACTTGCTGTCTTAAGAGATGCTCGTTGCTTGCTGCAGGTGAAGCATGCTTATAGATAAACTTCTGTGTCTGTTCTTTAGGTAAGCAAAGGCATTAGTAGGCAGGGAATTCTCCTAAGCATCTTTAAATGAAAATCAAATGGACTAAAAATGCAAGTTATAGTTGTGCTGTGGGCTGTGAGCAGCTTCTTAGGTCTGAGCCACGGATAAAATGATGAAAGAAAAGAGAGTTCAGAACAAAAACAAATCTGGCCCAAAAGATATGGAATGAGGCTCACTGCCCATTGCTGTTATTTGCATACTACAAGGGAGGACTAATTTATGCAAAAGAGAGAGGAGGAATGAAGAACTGTGTTTTCTGTACTGCAGTATGTTTTTTCAGATACCCCAGTGATCTGGGTGGGATTTTTGAATGCAATGGGAGTTAGTTATCCTCAAGTAAGGTTAGAGTGCATCCTTTGTTCTGGCAATAAATTACATAAGCTGTGGAAATTAGAAGCTGTTTGGCATGTAAGGATTAAAGAGTACCTTCAGGCAGACTTGAAGGTATGTCCCCAGGCAATCCTGTGCTGCTCGTGCTGCTCCCCTGCCAGCTGATGCAGTTCCCAAAGACTGGAGAGCTAACCCAGGGAAAAATACCAGTAACAGCTTTTGCTGGCCCTGTGAGCTGATCGTGCTCCCTGCAGGGGATGAGACATGCCAGCACTGGGGAAGTGGTGGGGTGGAGGTGGGGCAGGGCAATGTGGGGGACTGGGATCTCGCTGTCCATTATGGGAGGAGGGTCAGTGGGCTCAGGCATCCCCCAATCCAGTGCCCCAGGGCTGTACCTCCATGGCATGGGTCCTTCCTTGGGTCCTCTTCCTCCAGGGAGAGCTATTTATGATTGCTTATAGCAGTGATGAAATTGCCGCAGCTCCCCGTGCTGCTCAGCTGGAGTGGCAGGAGAGGGCAGAGGCTCGGAGGCTCCGTCACAAAGTTCCCTTGAGACTGAAGCCCCTTGAGGCTGACACGGCTTTTGACGTGTTTCTTTTCGTTTGCATAAAATAGCTTCTCGCAAATGCCAACAGCATCAGGAAAAGAGGACGCCAATGATAACATCACTATATTCACCAGGATCTTGGATGGTCTGCTGGATGGCTACGACAATCGGCTGCGCCCGGGACTGGGAGGTAGGATAATGTGTTTGCTGTGGCTGGTTCCCCGCTATGCGGGACCATCGTCTCCATGATGCCCTCCTGAATGAGTACCTGTTCTCGGCACAGGCCTCAGCAAGGGAGTTGTGTTTCATTAGCTAAACGAAGCCCAGAAAGTAGATTTGCCTGCTGGCAAACAGGGCACAATGCAAAGGTCACTGAAAGTCGTCGTCTTTCAGTCACTAAGGTCATCTGAGGGTGGGTTACGAGAGCATGTGTGATGCATTTTTTTCTGTAACTGAATACAGTTTGGGTTTCTTTTCTTTCTGGTGCTCCCTAATGTGAGCGAGACAGGGTGCTAGCAGGTTGCTGCAAGGTTCCCTCACTGGTCAGCACGTATAAGATTATGCCAGTGACAATCTCTGTTAAAAACAGATCCCCAAACAATCCATTTTTAGACAGCTACAGCAAATCTCTATTGATATGTCATTTTGATAACCTCTGCCGCAGCTATTTTAAAACCGTAACATGTGAATAGTTCCTTGCCATCCTAACCTTGTTGAGCCCTCCTTCAGCTCTCTATCCCCCAGATTTCTCTTATCGTCTACCCATGTGTAAACCATCTGTTATGTTTCTTCCTGGCCCTTTTTTAATCTGGCTACCCCCACCCCTTCCTCGTGAGACCAACACATTGCTTTCATCCCTTTCTCTCCTTCTTCTCTCACTTTACACAGAGATGCTTGAAAATAGGGCTCGATGCTCCTATCTTATGTAACAAACTTCTGAAATTTCTGCCCTTAAATTAAATTAGTCCTGGATTTGAAAAGATGCCAGAAGGACTTAGAGTCTTGAGGGTAGAATTAATTTCACCTAACTTTGGACATCTATAATAGATGTCTGAAATTGGGCAGATCACCCAAGCCAGCGGAGGGGAATAGGTCCTTCCAAGCTACATTTCATCTCATCCTATAGCAAGTATTGAATATATGCTGGCAATGTGTGCTCATAGCCCAGAATGCAAATTGCATCCTGGGCTGCATCAAAAGCAGCGTGGCCAGCAGGTCGAGGGAGGTGATTCTGCCCCTCTACTCTGCTCTTGTGAGTGCTGTGTTCAGCTCTGGGGTCCCCAGCATAGGAAAGACATGGACCTGTTGGAGCAGGTCCAGAGGAGGGCCACAAAGATGATCAGGGGGCTGGAGCACCTCTCCTACGAGGCCAGGCTGAGACAGATGGGGTTGCTCAGCCTGGGGAAGGGAAGGCTCCAGGGAGACCTTACAGCAGCCTTCCAGTACCTAAAGGGAGCCTACAGGAAATACGGGGAGGGACTCTTTATCAAGGAGCATAGTGATAGGACAAGGGGTAACATTTTTAAACTGAAAGAGGGTAGATGCGGATTAAAGAAGAAATTCTTCACTATGAGGGTGGCGAGGCACTGGAACAGGTTGCCCAGAGAAGTTGTGGATGCCCCATCCCTGGAAGTGTTTGAGGCCAGGTTGGATGGAGCTTTGAGCAGCCTGATGTAGTGGAAGGTATGGAAGGTATCCCTGCCCATGGCAGCGGGGTTGGAACTAGATGATCCCTTCCAACCCAAAGCATTCTGTGGTTCTATGTTCTATGATCAAAACCTGTTGGTCAGAGGAATTGCACCCTTGAAGGGCCTGTTTCTTACCACTGATTATAAGAAGGGGGCCTGGGCTCCCAAAGGTTGACAACTGCGTTTGATCAGGGATGAAATTCCTCCTCAAACATTTTTTTAATTTCAAGCTTTTAGGGATTTTTTGAGTGATTCAGAAATTGTTAATAGAGAAATGCATCACACGCACGCATTTGCATCTTAAAGCAATTACTAATGCAGAGCCTATATTTGTTACAGAGAGAATAACTCAGGTGAAAACAGACATCTATGTTACCAGTTTTGGTCCTGTGTCAGACACAGAAATGGTAAGTTCGAGCGCGTGGCTGCCAACTCCATTGTATTTACTTTGCTAAAGTCATTTTTGGAACCATCGCTTCTATTCAGATCCTGCAATACCACGACTGTTTCTTTGTGCCAGGAATACACCATTGACGTTTTTTTCCGACAAAGCTGGAAAGACGAAAGGCTGCGATTCAAAGGGCCTATGCAACGCCTCCCTCTTAACAACCTGCTCGCCAGCAAAATTTGGACCCCAGACACTTTTTTTCACAATGGCAAGAAGTCTATTGCTCACAACATGACAACCCCAAACAAACTTCTGCGCCTGGAGGATGATGGCACTCTGCTGTATACCATGAGGTAATAACCGGGATCAATTTCTTCTGATGCTGATTCCCAACTAGCTCTGCAAATACTTGTGGGGAGCGTCACTTCCCCCACTCCTAGTAGAGCTGGGCAACCAATCTTCCACACATATTTATGTGAATATAAGAAAAATGGAAAGCATGATCGCTGCCTACAAGTACCAATTAATTTGTAGCTTCTGAATACTGCTAGCGCTTAAATATTTCCTTTGATTAAATGGAAGGCATATTCTCAACAGATTTGATGATTCAGTCCAGCTTTTTTATGAAGAACTGTTCTCTCTTACTGTTTGTATTTGCAGCTGCAGTGCTGATTGCAGGAGAACTGTCTCCAAAGGCCAGAAACTGAGATCTTGTTCTGGGGTAGTACATCTTGAATCCTTGAAGCTTTTATTATTATTTTTTTCGATTTCACTAATAGTGCTAAAAGGCAAATCATCATAGCGATAAATGAAATAAGCTAGCGGCACTGTGAAGCTGCTTTAGCAAGTACTTTCCTGAAAACAAAGCTGGCACATTATATTGGTGGAGAAGCAAATTAGTGTCTCAGATCTTCAGGATCGTGCTCCTCATCTGATTAGAGCATACTGTCAAGCTTCATCATTGCATAACCTAGATATAAGATACAATATCGGTGGTGTTGGAGGCTTGTCTGAAATTCTTCTCAGGCCAAATCACACATCAGTGTACGGCAATTTGCTCATTGAAGGTAATTAGCCTGTAGTAATTAAGACTGCCGTCTGCCTTCAATGGGGTTTTCTCTAAGAGCATAGTCATATGGACAACACTTGAAAAAGGGATGAAAGCAAAAACCTACCGAGCAACAAAGTTGCTCCGAGCTTTTCACATACGAGCCCCAAGTGGTGCCCAAGACCCAGCAAAGCGGTCGGGAGCCTGAAGTTAGGTGCTGAGATGCCCGGGTTTTCAGCAGGTGGCCCCCAATGAAGGGAGGGGACAGCTGAGCTCCCGCCGTGCCCCGTCCCGCTGCAGGGCCGGCTCTGTGGGGCAGAGCAGACAGCCACCCGCTGCTGCACGTTGGGAGGGTGAGCCCCGAGCTCGCTCCCAGGGACCGGTGCTTAAGACTTGTTGGGGCTCAAGGGGATTACACTTTCATATGCTGGCACCCGGTGCTTCCCAGATTTTGTTTCAGGTGTTTTCGACCTGTTTCATTTGTTTGTTTATTTTGGCTCTAGTCTTAAATCCCTTCTTCTGAAAGGAAAAGAGATTTAAGAGAAGTAAGGTGTCCTTACATAAGTCCTTACAGCTTTAGACCATCACCGTTGTAACTGCACTAGCACTAAAAAGACTTAAACGTGATAGAGATCATGTTTAAAAGAAGGAAAAAAAACCCTCATTTTCTCTTCTACTATGTGTATTGCTGCTCTTACTAGTCCCAAGTGATCTCCGCAATAATAAACTGAAACAATGTGAGGGTACACATACACACTTAAATGAATAGAAGTCAGAATAACTATCAGACAAACTTATTTTCACAAAAATACTTGTAACTCTGGCCTTAAAACCAGTCTCACTGCTGCTAGGACTACACTAGTACCACTCCAGAGACTGCTGCAGAGGCAGTTCCCTATTATCTGTGTAAATTACTTGTGTAAGTACAGTCCAGATCAGGCTCACAGTCAGCCTGGAGCAAAACATTATGTCGTGTGGTGGATTCGCAGCTGGCGTGCTATTTTTGTGCAAGCTCTGGGTTTTGCAGTGTTCAAGGAATGCAGCGAAGCAGCAATTCATGAGGCAATGAGCTGAGCCACCCGAGGTAGTGGAGCGAGACCTGGGGGAGCAAGCCCCTAGGTGAGCTTGCCGCTGAATCTGAGTTACTCTGTGGAGGTGCCTCTCCTGTGGCACAGTATTGTCACATTAGGTGCCACAGGCTATAGGTATACTGAGGAAGAGGCAATGCCCTGCTCAGCATATGCAGCTGGAGAAAGATTTGGCTTTGACACTGACTTTCTCATCGTCCCACTCAATCCCTTTTCCCCTGCTTTTCACAGGGGGAAAGCTCTTTGGGATTGATGTTTTTGTAGGCTACAGAAAGACACAGAATGCTTTTGTAACCTAAAAAACATGCAACATAACTTTTTTTTTTTTAGTAGAATATTGTATGTGGGTGTGCATGTGTGTGGATATAAATTCCCACTAACCATGGTGTATGTGATTAGAAATGGAGCGCAAAGCTTTTTAAATAGCTTGCCTTCCACTATTGCAAGTAATAACTTTAAAAATAAGAGTGTCTATGCTATTTTGCTTAAACACAAGTCAGGAGACTGCTTTTGTAACGTGCATGGAGCTGTGCTACTTTAGGGATAGCAGTTTTTCATGATGGGCGTTTCAGCAGCATGAGTGATGCTCCGCTGCGAGGTGGCTTGAGGATCATAGAATGATAGAATGCTTTGGGTTGGAAAGGACCTTTAGAGATCATCTAGCCGAACCCCCCTGCAGCGAGCAGGGACAGCTTTAACCAGATCCCATCCCAACCTGTACAGAGGTGGCTGTGACATGCAGCCAGCCCCTTCATCTGCTGCCCAACCCTTTCCAAGTCCCCATGAAGGTGACAGCTCATAAACGCTACCCAGCATGGCTTTCTGTGAGAAGATAGACGGCGTTGGGCTTTTTGAGGGGAGAGCTGCTTGTCTCGGTGGCGGTGCACTGGTTGAAGATGCTGGGTCTTAGCTGGGGCTTGAGCCCCATCTCCTGTAGCTCCTGTCAGGCTTGTTCGATTCTCAGGGTCTGGGGATGTGGAGACAACCCTCTGTTAGCTCTGCATTCCCCTCGTTTCCAAGGAGGAATTGCGAGCTTCCCAGACTGTACGTAGGAGTAATCCGTGCGGGGAGGATTGGACCCTCTGTCATTGACAGAGATGCCTGAATTGCTTTCGCAACCTCGCATCTGGCTGCCTGAATGAAGAGGAGGAAAGCAGCCGAGCCGATGCTGACCTTCCATCTTATTTGACTTCCAAATATACCAAGTATGATCAGCTGAGCAAACTTCCAGCTTTAGCACTTGTCAGTACATACATTTTCATGATACATGTGTTTACTTATAAAGGAAAATGTATTCTTTGCATATTTCATTTGATGATATGTTGTCTAGGTTAGAAGTTGATGGGATATATGTTGCTAGGGAAATCTAATAAATGGGCTTCTATATACGTGCAGCATTAAAACCCTTCTGCATGAATATAAGAACACAACATTCTCTTTAGACAGATTTCATAGGCAGCAGCGTTCTCTGCAGGGAACGACTTAATAATTCTGATGTCTTTGATTTGGTAGGCCCTATTTGTTTTATTTCGCTAATGTGGTTTACATATGATACACTGCTGAATTGAATGTTGCAAATTCTTTTTCTGCCCCTAGAGGGGAGTATTGTCCGTATCGCCACTTTTAAATAATTTCTTTTTTTTTTTGTAAGAGCACTGTGGGAAAAAAGCACTAGCAAATATACTTTGTATTTCCCTAATCTGTATAGAAAATAGCTTTGTGAAGGGAGGCAGAAAGTTGATTCTTTCCCTTTAAGCATTTATAAAGATATTTAGTTTATCTTATCTCAGAAGTAAATGTTGTAAAAAGCATAAAGCTCATTTGTTCCATGAAACTATTCTGAAAAATGGGGACAGTAGTTTAAGAAACATTTTCACGCTAAGAGATCCAAAATGGCTCAGTGAGCTGTATTTTTTCTCTGAGTAGAAATTGGCTGTAAAGACAGAAGCTCTGATAAACTTTGCTGTAGGATGCCAGAAAAAAGCTGTGAGTCTGCCTTTTTCTTTTTCGCCAGAACTTGTATGAAATAGAGCATGCTTACTAGAGCTAAATCTTTGGACCATAACTGAACTTTTGGCCAGCAGTTCGTAGGGAATTTTTGACTCTTTTCTGTCAGTTTGTAGATACCGAAAAGTCTTTTTGTGTCATCACAAGGCCTAGGCTCCTTGGAGCCCCACTCTCGACATCATTTTGAAAGGACCCCAAGCCACTTTGGCCACCACTAGGGCTTCCAGGCATCTGATATAATTTGGGATTTTAAATACAACGTGGTCATACATCTGAAGAGTGTACAAACAGATTTTTCCCATGTTATTATGGCAGCTGAAGGTTGCCTGAGATCCTGAGAGTGTATACAGTTGAATCTGTGCCATTATTCTGCAAATGCATGATTTATCAGCTGGAGACTGCAAGCATTTGTCAGTACAGTGTTTAAGAAACTCCAAAAATTTTAGTACAGCCCTGAAATACAGTTATCTTTACCACTCCTGGAAGACATTTAAAATTCAGATGGCTATCCACTTGATGGCAGCATAACCACGCTGCTTGCTGTTCTGTAGCGAATACACAGGCTTATCTAGGCTAAAAATACTGCCTCTTACATTAGCACTGAGCATTAAAATTGTATGTGCAAGGGTACACATGTCCTGGGTGCATGTTAGCACAAAGTCTGCTCTTACATGAAGCACTTAATTAGCAAGCTAACCATTTTATGCTGTAGAGCTATTGATTATAAAACCAGTTGGCTGGAAGATATGGTGCTGTTTTCAAGACTTCCATTGGAAAAGCCAGGTTTTGTTTACTTAGCTTTTTTAAAGGGAAAATTATTCTATGAAAAATGTGTGGGTTCTCAAGCACTGACTTTGCCAGAAGGCAGCCTTTCCCAGATGCAGGTTTGCTTGTGTGGCCCGGAGCAAGGAGTGACCAGCAAATCTAAACTTTAAAATGAACCCTTAGTTTTCAGTCAACCAGCCGTCTAGATGGGAACATTTCTGTTCAATTTGCATACGTTGTTCTTCTTTCAAAGGGAAGATTTCATTTATGCATCCATTTATATTTACAGAAGGGGATCTGGCAATGCTTTTGGGCATTGTATAAATATTGCAAAACTAATTAGGAGCTATCAAGCCATACAAATATGCATTTCCTTTCCCCGTGTTAGACTTGCTGCCTTTTCTTTCATATTCAAGCTTCAAACTGCCTGAAGCTGGAAGAAAAA